GCTTCCGAGAAAATTTAGAGGGAGTTTGTGCTTGAGAGAGAATGAAAAAGATAGATGCATAAAGAAGGCGAGTAAAAGTGTGAATGGAAGAAATGCCGAATTCGATTGAATACACATTAATTAATATGTGCTCTGGTGTATACTAAAGGCTCATACACAAAATGTACGATATAAAGGTACGTACATTTGCATAAAACTTGTATACAGATGATGTAAATTTCTGTATAATTTACATAAATTTGTATACAAATTGGCATAAAGGCATAGTTGCTTAGATTTATACATAGATTATGCATAATTTAGTCAGGTTGGGCCAGAAAGATACTCTTAGCATAAGTTATTACATTGTTTAATTGAACAAATATTAATATTGAAATAAGAACTTAGTGAACTCCTCTGATATTTTATTAAAAGGTTAATAGTAATTACATTTAACTTATTTTTATTATATTTGTATTACAATGCTATTAATTCTTTAGCTGAAGCATGCAATAACATTTTCTTGAAATTACTGACAGAAGGAAACAGAAATGTATTGACATAATTATGACATACTTTTTCGACATATTTTGATATTATTATAAAATAAAAAATTAATTTGTTTTTAGAAAATGAAAAGTAAAGGCCGCAATGTTATAGATATCAAGAAACATTGATAGTATTGGCGCGTTATTAATTTACTATATTTTCAACAGAATATGAATATAGCTATTATTATACTTCAAATATTATATTACAACGTATATTTGTCGATTAATATTAAGTTTGCATACTCTTAGATAAAATAATGACGCTAATTGAAAGCAAGAAATTATCCTATCAAAATTTAAAAAATTTAAATATTTTTCTAATAATATATTATTTAAAATATATTGTTATCCATCTCAAAAATTTGTATTATTAAATGAGTACCCAAACTGTAAATCATTGGAGATTAATTGTACATTCGAAATTTTATTTATTGTAAATATTTAATACAGCTAAAGCATTAATATAGCCATTTAATAAAGCATTTCATTAAAATGCAAAATATATATTGCCCATATTCTCTTACAATCAAGGTTTTTATGTTATGTCTTTACTTAAGTAAATTAGTGTGTAATAGACTTTATTTTGCATCAGTGCGCACAATGGTGCATCCAATCAAATTGGCTGAAAAGAGGAGAGAGAGAGAGAGACAGAATGTGTGTATTCGTGTATGTGTGATTGAATAAAAGAATGTGTGAGAGAAAGAGCAGAAGCGCACGCGAGAGAGATAATAAGAAAATGAGAGAGTTAGTGAGAAGAAAAATGAAAATTGCAGTATATTTGTGCATGTGCGTGTTTTGCGTTCGCATTTTTGCATTTGTAGTGCCGCACGAATAAGAGAGTGCATTTTGATGTAATTTTTGTGACCAAACCAAATACAGTTGGACAGAATATAATGACAGTATAATACAGATAGTCGGTCTCTCTCGCGATCTTCCGATTCCAGTAATTTTATATGATATGAATTTGTTTGGTTTCGGCGCGCTCTCTCTTGCACTCTCTCCTTACAAGAAATATCGAAATTTTATAATAGATATATTATTTGGAAGAAATATATTATTAATGAAATAGAAGAGAACAGAGACATATTAGGATTCGATGAAAATGTATTCGGTACAGTAAAAATAATGTAAATGTATTGGGTTGATTATAAAAAGAAAGAAATAAATTGTTCGTTTTTTTTCCTATATATGGCTTGTTAAAACTATCAATTTTTTATGTAATTCTTATTAAAACGGTTTCTTTTATGAGATTTAAATAAATAGTTTTATAAAACTGCAAATATGAATAAAAAATAGTTTTAAATAGCTCTAAAAAGTTAATCTTTAAAAACATTTAAAGATGAAAAGAACAAACAGTTCTCTCGAAGCAAGAAAGAAAAGAAATAAATAAATCGTTTCGATCAATCTAATACATCTATAAAAAAAACTAATATACTATAAAAAAATAAATAGTTTGTGTAATAAATTGTTTGTAAAAGTCATCGATGCTTTTATAAAATCACTATTACTTATATAAGTATATAAATATTTAACATTTAAAATATACTTACTGATACAGATGGTCAGTATTCAATTCTTTATTATCTTTATTATCAATATATAATTTTCAAAGATATACATAGTACCAACATACAGTAACAACATTTAAATTCTTAGATTATTACTGAAAATATTTTGTTATTATATCGATTATAATTATGACAAAGGACAAGCACTGGTATGACAAAAAAATGCAAGTTTTTTATATTTACCAAAACAAATAATGTGTAGTTACATTTTGATAAAATATTATTTAAATATTTTTATTACGTAAAATATTTTTATGTAAAAGTTTGCAGTTAATAAAGAAAAATGTATCAGATTGATTAAAATTAAATTTCTATTTTGCTTTTTATCTAATAAAGAGAAAAAACGAACGAATCAAGTTTTTGTCAGCCTAATATATACGATTTTC